CGGCGCTTCGCGCTTGGTGATGTGAGAGCCTGGTCCGGTGAGAACCCGGCGTGCTCCGTCCCGGCTTTGTAGGGATGCGAGGTCAATGGTCTAACGACTACGGCATGCACGACTATGAGTATGAGCATGAGTATAGCCCCCCCCCTCCCCCCCCCCCTTTCTGATACCCATTCCTCTCCGTATAGTCCCTCGGCGAATTGTACACGGAGGTGGGGAACGCCGTCCTGGACAGCACAGACGAAGTGCCGTCCATGTTCCACGACCGACCGCCTCGGCGTCGAAGGACTTCTCGGTCCAAGAGCGGCGGCGGGGCAGGGATGGCGGCGGCGGCGGTGGGAGGACGGGGAGCGAGGAAACGGGGCGGCGGCCTCGGCGGCGGTCGCGCTGTGCTCGACGTGGCCCTGCCAGGTGCGGGTGCACTCGACGAACGGATGGGAATAGCGAGGCTCTCTTTCCTTCCCTCGCTGCCCCCGACTGCTAGACGTAGAGCAGAAATACTGAGTTGTTGTTGTAGATCCGTCGCTCGTTCTCGGTACGGTATGGCTGTTAACCTTACCCTTGACCTGTTCATATACCTTAACCGTTTCTCGGTCTCGGCACCCCACCCTCCTCCCTAAACACATGTGTGACGGAGCCAAGAATGAACGGTATCTACGTTTCTTTGCTGACAAGAATTGATTGATTGCAAGCCGTAGCTTTGAGCGGATTGGTGGATGCGATGTGCGTTTGTGTGTTTATCGCGGTGCTGGCAATGCACAGCGTGCTAATAGTTACGCCCGACGTACAGTTTCTGCAGGTGGTCGGTGCAACGGCTATACATCTCGTTCTACCGAAACGTACCTGCTCGCCTTAACCTGCTTCCGCATCGCCTGTACAACTGCTGTACGCACGCGGTAGATGTGCAGGGCCTGAGTCTGGCGGCATCGACCAGCGGCTCATCATCTCGCAAAGACAGCAGTGACGACGACGGGGACGACGATGACAGTGGGTACGATGACCGAGATCGAGGTATCTCGGCCAGCCGAGAGCGGTGGACGAAGGAGTGGAATCGAGCCATCGGCGCCGGCGACGACGATGACGGTCCCGGGCCGGCAAGAGCAGGAGGTGATCGGCGGCACGGACACCAAGAGGACGCCGCTGCTGCTTCTGTAGCGGTGGGGATGGAGACCCCCTCCACGTCGTTGACGAGAAGGAAGAGAAGGAGTAAGAGGAGGGCGGCACCATCACGGGTGACCGTTCTGGAAAACGAAGATGGCGGCAGACTTCTTGCAGCCGCAGCAGCAGCAGCAGGAGAAGGGCGGCATGGGGGGTTGGGTAGCACGCAGCAAATGCAGTATGGGTTTGAGACGATCGGGCGCGGGCGGGGCCCAGTGGACGAGGAGGAGGAGAAGGAGGAGGAGGAGGAACAAGAGAGCGGGTACGGGGGGTCCTCCGAAGGAACATTTGAACCTGGGGGGGGCAGGTGGGGTGGGGTGGGTGGAAGCCAAGGCCGTTATCGTGACGAAGAAGAGAAGGGGGAAGAGGAGGATGAGGAGGAAGAGGACGACAGCTCGGAAACAGGAAGCGAGGTTTGTTTTCATATATATATATATATATGGATTGGCCCGCTGGTTGGTTGCTGCCTTTCGTGTCGAGTGCTCCGTTGTTTTGCAGGGTGGCCTTCTTTTCTTTTAGAGGGGGAAGGCGGGGACGGACAGCCAATGTGCCCGGCGAGCTAGATTTCTACGGTGTGCTACTGGTGCCATCTCTGCGTGTCTTTGTTCGCTTGTCGACACTGCTGCTGTGACCCTCAACGATCGGTGCAAGTCGCGCCAAAATCATGTGCTCCGTTGCCGTTCCTAATACCTCTCACAACGCGTTTTGTATTCCTGAACCGGACGCTCTTTCTGGAATCAGGGCGTGGGCGTGAGCGGGCTGCCGATCGGCGAGGCTAGCCTGTCCTCTGGGGACGAGAGGATCTGGAGAACCGCTGGTAGCAGAGCTTGAAGGAAGCCGCGGCGGATGTATAAGTAAAAAAACGTTAGTCGTGTATTTGAATACAGCAGTGAGTGAGGGTTGATGGAAAAGGGACCCAATCCTTGCGGGACAGCCATAAACCAACAACACCACACCGGATAACACACTTTCATGTGTGCCACACAAACCACGCAACCGTTTGGATGGTATGGGTGCATTTTTACTGTGTCGGCAAGGAAGGTTAGTCAGGATTTGTTGTGTCTTTGCACTCCGTTCGTGTCTATTTATTTAGTGGTTGGTTTAAGACCAAAGTATTCTGTGGGTTGGGGAGTAAGGGAAGATCTATAAGAGCATTATTTCTGTAGCATTTGGATTTCCGTGTATCTAATATTGTTGTAGCTTAGGCTTTGTGCCCCCAAGCGCAGAGAAGCAACCGAATCGAGGTGACGTACAATAGTATTTACAACGTGGTCAGCTCTGGTGCCGTTAGCGCCAAGCATGCTTGTTGCTGCCTGCAGCAGTCTCCCGTCCATGGTATTTTTCTCATTTTGCGAGGATATCACGCGTGCGTGTTGGATGGGGAGGAGGCGATAGAGGCATCCCCACACCTGCTGTGCCGTGAGTGGGATTTGTCGACTGTTGGCCATCGGACCTTTGTTTTGAACAAGCAATTTAGCATAAACCTTGGTACGTGTTGTAAACATCACCATCTAGCACATGATGCTCGCGGGTACGTTTGCCACCGGTAGACCCTCCTGCGTGCGCTATCGCGCGATTTCCAAATACAACCGCAGCAGGAGCGGCTTCCAGCCCCGACTTCAGAATGCTCCAATCGCAGAGAGCATTGCAATGCCAGAGGGAGAAGACCCGCGACCCCGGCTTAATCAACACAGCTCTTGTCGGCCTTCGCTGAAGAGCACCACAATTCCGTCCCTAGTATTCCGCACAAAACTGAGACCGGCAGCAGTTGTTGTGTTGCCCCTCCCTTGACAGCTTACAGCAGAGTTGGGATGTAGCCTTCCGCAGAACGGAACGCATACCAGTGGGTCATGCCTGCCTTAGAAGATGGACCAATGACCTCTCTCGGAATACCTGCCACCGTGTGCACAAATAAACACTGCTGTCTCTTTCAATTTGTAGTTCAGGATGCTGGTGACTTTTGAAATATTTGCTTGTCAAAACGAAGCAACCCAACCCACACACTTACGGCGGTATGTTCTAACTTACACGCGTACTCCAACAACGCTCTTCAATAGCAAGGGCCACACGACGAGGAAGCGGAAGGGAGCAAAAGAGACGCCTCCATGCGCTCACCATCATGCTGCCGAAACCAGAGAGACGACAAGAAGAAAGTGACAAAAAAATGCAAGAGCAAGAAACAGGCAAACAAACGGAGAAAACATGTCACGTAAGAAAAGGGCCGTCACCAAAACAACGGAAACGGGGTAAACGCAACCCCTCCTGCTCCCACCATGCTTCCCATGTCATACCAATCTCGCCCCACCTTCGTACGGAAACAAGGCAACGAAGCGCCGAATATGTGTACAGTCTTCCTGTATCACTGCTGTGGTCGCATTAGATCAAAAATAGAATACAGGACTAAAAAGTAGTTGACACAAATAAAAAATAGTTGAACCATGCATCGGGCAATGCACAGGAACAAGCCAGACAAGGGAGTACACATTTGTTTCCGCAAAGTGGTCCACGCCTAACGCTTGTAACTTCGTTCAAAATGGTAGGGTAGGAAATTTATGTGTAGTCGAGCACGGTCATTGTAGCTGCTACACATATCTTGCTTTGATTGTCCGTCAGTCCATCCCAGTCCACAGAACCCCTAAAAATAAAAAAATTTGCAAACGAATTGAGAATCTTCGGGGGCAGACCTCGAACTACAGCCGCAGCACCAAAAACATTCGCAACATTTTGGGAACTCGAATCAAAACCTTTCACTATGATGAAAACAGCAGAATAAAAAAGAACGAAACCTACACGCGCACGAAATGATCTATGGTTCCTGTCGCCCTTTGAGGGAACACACAAACTCCGACATGCCCACCAAGGCCATGACATCAGCTTTTTAACTGGATACGGAGAACTTCATTCGTGGTGTATTGGCGGCCTCAACCGATCCAAAAAGTCGAGATAGAGTCGGGTCGTTCGCTCGCCATACCTCTCTGCCCCCCTTTCCCCCCATCCCGGCCCGTGCTACCCGAGAGCACCATCATTGATTGCAAACATGGACAAAACGGAAAACAATTATGTAAAACAGAACATCAGCAAATCACATCCATTCGTTCCCCCCGCGGGTCGGGTGTGCTCCGCGTGAGGACAAGGGAAAGGTCCAGCAAGCAGAGGATCGGAACGGGCCTCCCTCTGGCGCGATGCGAGTGCCCCCTTATCACGTCCTTCGCAGAACACAAACAACAGCACGAACAGCAAGATGGTCCAACAACGGTTGAAATCACACACGTCGACAACAACCAACGGCGCCCGGTGTGGGGGGAACAAACCCCCACCACCACCACGAAACACGCACACACACAGACACACAGCCCATCCACCGCAGCAACCGCGATACACCTACACGAGGCTCTCGCATTCCAGCCACGTGCAAAGGATGCCAGCCGCAGGAGCAGTCCAAAAGCACACGTGTCTGCGCTATCTGCTTACCCCGTTCTGTAGGCCATCTCTCGCTCCGCGTGTACGTTGGCACTTGGCAGGGAGTAATGATGATACGGGTCCCGGCGCGATCAGCCGTGCAGACAGTACACGTGCGCAACATTTACATCGTTGTTTACAAGCAATACGCACGCACCAACGCGCACACATGCGTAGCTGTTCCGTTCTTAGAACGTAAAGCAAGCAGGCAAACGAACAATGAGTACAGGTAAACTCATCAAGTAACAGGAGCGGGGTGGGTGTTCGGTGGGCGGGCTGGGTCACCACGCCACGGAACAACGCGAATTTCCCCCCCCCCCAACTCCCCCCCCCGGTGTTTGCCATCGGGGTTGGGTTTTCGTCGCTTGGCAACGACGTTGTAAAAC